GTTGTTTGAAAGGCCCATTCCCGTTCACTTACTTGGGTGTTCCTGTGGGAGCAAACATGACATTCAAGAAAAATTGGAAGCCGATCTTGGACAAATTCAGTTCCAAATCGTCGTTATGGAAAGCTAAGTCTCTATCATTTGACGGGCGTCTCACGTTAATCAAATCAATCCTCGGCTCTATCCCTACTTATTACATGTCCCTCTTCAAAGCCCCGCAAGGCATTATCGATGCTCTAGAAAAGATCAGGATAAAATTCTTATGGGGTGGGGATGAAACAAAACGAAAAATACATGGGGTTGATTGGTCCAAAAGTAATTGTGCATAAAAAGGAAGGCGGACTCGGTGTGGGTTCTTTAAAAGCACAGAACTTGGCTCTTTTGATCAAATGGTGGTGGAGGCTTATAAATGACAGAGGGAGCCTCTAGAAAGAAGTCATCTTCAGTATTCATAACTTAAGGAAGAAGCCTACATTCTACATTGCTAGAAAATCTCCAAATGGGATTTGGTGTAACATTGCAAAAGTTGTGAAAAGTCGTGCTGAATTTAATATTGATAGAAATGAAATATTCAAATTAATTCCAGGCTCAGGCGTGAAAATATTGTTCTGGAAAGAGCCTTGGTGTGTTATGATCCCATTTCAAGAAAAATTTCCAAGGTTGTACTCGATTGAAGTTGTCAAATGTTGTGATATTACTGACTGTGTATCAGCATGTGTATCAGCATCTGGTTTCTCTTGGAATTGGAAGCGTGAGTCGACTGATACGGAGACACTCCACGAGTTACTACAATTATATGTTGAATTTTGGAATATTGATTGTGTTTCTCCTTTTCCATTTGGGTTTTGATGTATGTTGAACACGGGCGGTAGATATACTGTTAAGGCCATAAGGATGCTTATTGACTCAGTCTCGATTACACACAAAGGTCCTCTGGTTTGTTGGTCAAATTTGATTCCTCTAAAAGTCAGCTGCTTTGTTTGGAGAGTTACAATAGGTAGGATTTCGGTGGCAGTATCGTTGGCATCTAGAGGAGTTTTCGTCCCCCACACACTCTGCCCATTATGCAACAAGGAATCGGAATCAATAGATCACCTCTTTGCTAGATGTGATTATGTGAAGGAAGTTTATGTGTGGATTTTCAAATGGTGTGGGATTCAATATCGAAACTTCTCGAATGTTTTGGAATTCCTTGACTATGCTGCTTCATGGGGCAATTGCCCTCGAAAGAAAGCAATTATCAATTTCATCTTCTTTTGCATGATTTAGGATGCTTGGCTGGCCCGGAATGACATTGTTTTCAAAAAAATTAGAGTACCGCCTACAAAAGTCGTTGATAACATCATCTCCATCTCGTTCGTCTGGTGCAAATATAGAAGTAAGGATGGATGTGGAAACTAGGCAGACTGGAGCTGTTCACCGTTCAATCATTTAAATTTCTGATAAGCACATTCCGTTTGTAAAGTTTTGGTAATTTTCTCTTTGTATTATGTCTGCGCCTTAGCTACTTGCTAAGCGTTGTGTTTTTTTATTCTATTTGTCGTTTCCAAAAAAAGTAAGTTCCTAAATAATAGGCATTTTGGAAATCGTTTTGAAAAATCTAGAATTTAGCCAAAAAAATCATTGGAATTGTCGTAAATTAATTTCACAAATAAAATAATTACCCATATATATTTTACAAAACAAATAGTTATTTCATAATATTCTTTAAAATAAATAAATAAAAACTCTCCCATTTTGGTATTTTTGTGATTTAGTCCAACATTTTTTTTCCAATTCATCCCCCTTCTGTCTACAAGTTCTTTCACAGCTGGCTAACAAACTTCTTTTTTTAGTCCTATGCACGTACTTTTCTCCTCAAAACCTTAACCCCCTCCCCACTCGTTTTTCTTTCTTTCTTTTTTTTTTTATTGTGCCAAAATACTACAAAACGCAACATGCTATAATTTGTCAATAAAAACAACATTCGAATAAATGGACTTGTTGAAGTCAAAATCCATGAAATCACAGACAAGTATATATTTAATAAATTTTGCAATATATAATAACAAAAAAAACATTCTACAAATTTAAATCAAACAAAAGTAACTAAATCGCAATGACTTAGAATACCTTTGGTTTTTATTTCCGGTAACAAAAATCAAAACCAACACTAAAACTTCAGGGTTTTTTTTTAAAACAAAATTTTTCACAAAATGGTTTTTTTGTTTACAGTTTTTTAGTTTTTGTGTGGTTTTAATTTTTCTGCACACCCTTGTTACATCTATTAAGATTGACCTAGAATGGACTTGTTTTATAGAAAATGGTTCCCACAAGCACACTATTTTTATAAAATTTATTTTCAGATATGATAGACAAATAATCATTAAAGGCTGGAATGTCAAATCCAAGACAAGGTCAAGAAACAAAAAATATTTTGGAAGAAAAAATAATGGGGCAAGAGTCATCATCATGAAGCTTAAACAAAGGCTATATAAGGTGTCAATTAGTAATGAAAAGAGAAATCAACATATAAATTAGAAAATAAAGCAAATTAAGAAGAACACCTTCTGAATCTGTTAAGATGAGAAGCTTCCATGGTTTGGTTGCAGTTGCTTTTATCTCAGTAATCGCATTCCAATCATGTGTTGTCCATGGAAACTTTTACAGGGACGTGTACTTCAACTGGGGTGCCAAGCATGCATATATTTATAACAATGGTGATAATCTTGATCTGGTTCTTGATAAAACTGCAGGTATAGTATAAATTCTAACTTTTAGTTTTGAAAATACTTAAATTCAAGTCCATTTGTCTTTCAAAAGTCAAACATGAATTGTTAACAATGAGTAATGATCTATACAGGATCTGGTGTTCAATCATACAACTCATTCCTTTTTGGAAGCATTGAAATGCTAATTAAGTTGGTTCCAGGGAACTCTGCTGGAACTGTCACAGCATATTATGTAAGCATTCAAATAACAAGAAATAGCAACTGTACTTTTGTTTATTTGTTTATTCTATCAAAATATCTTACAAAGGAAAACATTGAAAGTACAATGTCATTAAATAGTATGTGACTATTTCTTGCAATTGGCCCTAACCCTAACTTGGTCTAATCAATATGGAATCATTGCAGCTTTCCTCTACTGGAAACTATCATGATGAGATCGATTTTGAGTTCTTAGGAAACTCATCAGGACAACCTTACACCATGCACACAAACATCTTTACCCAAGGAAAAGGCAATAGAGAGCAACAGTTTAAATTATGGTTTGACCCAACTGCTGATTTCCACAATTATACCATTCACTGGAACCCAACTGCAGTTGTGTAAGTTTAATTAACACATATTCTACTCATAGAACAATATATGTTTAGTTTAAAGATTAACAGTTAGATTATGGGAATGAATGCAGGTGGTTTGTTGATAGTATACCTATTAGGGTTTTCAGAAACTACAAAAGTGAAGGAATTGGGTTCCCAAACCAACAAGGAATGCAGGTGTATTCGAGTTTGTGGAATGCTGATAACTGGGCAACGAGAGGTGGACTAGTGAAAATTGACTGGAGTTGTGCACCTTTCATGGCTGGTTTGAAGAAATTCAATGCAAGAGCTTGTAAATGGGAGGGACCTCTTAGCATTATCAAATGTGCAGTACCTACTCCATTTAACTGGTGGACATCACGTGTTTACAAGCAATTGAATTGGGATCAACAGGGGAAGATGAAGTGGGTTCAAGATAATTACATGATCTATAACTACTGCACAGATTACAAAAGGTTTGGTGGGAAGATGGCTCCTGAATGCTACAAGCCACAATACTAATCAAAACATGAATACGTGAATACATGATACACCATAATTCATTTTCCAGTTTTTGCTTTTTGTATGTGTTTTGTTTCTATACGTTTTCGTTCTAATGTATCTTTTTCTCCCATACTAAATTCGCGATTACGAATTTGACAAAATGATTATATACATTTTATTTTATTTTTAAGAGAAAATAATAAAAGGGTTAACCACAAATTTGATCAATTGCTGATTGAAAATTACGCAAAATAACTCAATTTTTGCATTTTACAAATTCGAAACGGGATGTTTCGGACCGAGATCCGATGGCTACCACCCGTTTAAGTAGTCCCTTTATGTATAAAGGAAACTAGGTTACAACCCGTGGAATCCACGGGTTAACAAAATAAAAAATATTGAAAATTTAAAAGTGTAATGATTAATCATCGATTTGGAAACATAGATTTATTTACAAAGTTAGATGTTTTGCCAGTAAGTTTATAATGATTAATTTTAATTAATTTGTAAAATAATTTGAAGATACGAGCGTCTAAATTAATGATAAAACGATAACGTTGAACAATGAAATGTACAATTGAATAAGTAAGTTGCTATTATGGGTATAAAGTAAAATGCATTGTTTATATTAGTAGCAAGAAATAGAAGATGCTATTATTTTTTAAGAAAGATATAGCGATGTGCGGCGGTTATTTCGGTGATTAGTTTTGTTTCTGCTGACTGTTTCGGGATAAAAATAGAAATGTGTTACTTTGGGCTACAAATAAAAATATGTTGTTATTTTGGGTTAAATATGAAAGTACAATACTATTTTTGGTTAAAAATAAAAATATGTTGTCATTCATAGCTATTTTGGGATATAAGTAGATGATAGCCCTTGAAACCATAGTTAACATATTCAAAGAATTTTGATACCTCAAAAGCATAATCATTGATCATAAATTGTAAAAATTTATAGCATTTTAATGTAATATATAGTAATTTTTTATTTTAGTGTGAATTATAACATTTTTTTTTTCATCTTAATGTCATCCATAGCATTTAACTTTCATGTTAATATCTACTATAACATTGTTATTCTAAAATAAGTAGGAAGAAGTGAAAATTAAAGATTTAAAATGCAACCACTTGTAGGAAAACAAACATTCTTAATTCTCGACTACAAAGAGAATGCGAAATGAATCAACAAATGCTTTTGACATATCAACTTGAAGTTCCATGTTATTTTGAATTGTATTCTACAAATTCACTATTCACTGTGAATTATTCCATATTGATTTTAATAGTTGGTATTTCACCAAAATCTTCATAGTAATAATCCTAAATTTCACTTAAAGATAAATTTGCAGCCTGTGGTTCAAGTGATGTTGGTTCCTCAATAACTGGTTCACAATTATTCCCAATAAACCCCACTTTTATTCCCTGAAAGAAACATCCACATCCTTTTTAAATTGTAAAATTAACATCACTTCTCATTTCTATTAAAAATAAACCGTATAAAATATGCTTTTTAGATTGTCAGCTTCTTATTGAAAAATTAATAGTCCATGTCGACTATAAGCTTAAAAAGCATTTGTGTTTAAATAGCTTAAATTTAATTAGATTTTTTAACAACTCTAAACTAACTAAACCAAATAAGATTCAAATTAGTTGATTTTGGATTATTAGGTTTTGGGTTAATTGGTTTGATATATCCGATGAGACAAGAAACATATCTCAAATGGAAAATATATAAACCAAAATAAAAAAACGTAATTTTTTTACCAAATGAGAAAAGAAACATTAATATATAAAATATTATATTCCACCAAAAATATTTTCTTCATTGATGGGTGCATTTGTTTTGAGAAGCAAGTTATGGTCAAATTAAGTAAAAAAAGAGCTACAAACAAAGAATTAAAAATGTTCTTACTTGCAAATACCTACACATTTTTGTTTCTCCAGGTTTTTGATTGGGATGAAAAATACTTACAAGAATCACCATATCAACTTTCCATACCAGAATAACAAAACTTCTAACGATGGTGCAAGAATACCAGAATAATGATCATATAAAGGCTAAAAAAATTATCTCTATCAGTGATCAAGTTCATAAACACCACATAATTAAACAAAGTTGAATGTGCATACCATTTTTAAGTTGTTTCTTAAAGTTGGTGCTATTTAAAAGCACAAGAAACACAAAAGGACAAAATTGATTTACCACAATTTTGCATTAAAGTTGAGTTTCTAGCTGAAGGTGGAAATTGGAGGCATCAAAAACTCGACTTTTGCTTGAGAATCGTCATCTCACATGACAAACACACCGATTTTCTGCATACACAAATATACACATACCTCAACAACTGTAAGTTACATACCAAAGAGAAAATTTAGAAATCAAGATTTGTATTAGCCAAAAGAACCAGAAACAACATATTTGAGGAGGCAAATGTACATAATGTATTACCTGGCCTATTATCTGTTGGGTAGGAGGGAGAAGCATACATGGTAGTATAATCAATTATATTTTCATTGTATAAAAGAGTTCTTAAAAACAAATCCAAAAATTATAAAAATGAGTAATGGCGACTTCTCAAGTATGTCTAAAATAGAAGAAAAAACTCATAACCAGCAAGGTACCCAAATGTTCCAGCAAGACACATTTTGACCGTAAACTAAACCATCAATTCCTCTTTCAATTAAAAGATCACCATAACAAACAAAAAAGAGTAAATCAGAGAATAACATTGTAAGGGAAGATCATCTGTATGAATAGGAGACTGATTCCAACAAAACTTCATCAAAGCAGTTGGGACGCAGAACTCTACAACTCTAGTGGTCTTGTAAGATAATTAAAAAACAATACTATGTTGTAGGATCATTATTGGATTTACCTGTAGGATTGTTATTGGTTAAACTATAAATACACGCCTTTTTTGATCTCATCCGGTGAATTAACCAAGAAACCCACACATAGGCAAGTACCTTAAAAAAAGAAGCACTTCAAGTAAGGTTACAATATGGTCTTAAAGTTACCAATGTAACAATTTATCCCTTAATACTGTCAATAACGAACTAACTTAATGAACCAAAAGAGACTCATTCTGAAATCATTAGTAACGGGTAAAAGTGTCATTGACATACCTGAGGGAAACCACTCAGGTATCATCCTCTTACACTTCCCCTGCAAAACAGAGCAAAATAATTCTTTAACTTAATTAAGACATTTAATCAAACACATAGAATGAATAACTTTCTTTACAGGTTTGTGCTTAGTATGTAGGAGATGAAAATAAAATGAATTACCTTCACCCATTAAATCCGAAAGAGTTGACAGAATCGACCCATTCTTCAATCTACAACATTGGTTTTGAGAAAAGGATATGAAAATAAAATCAATTACCTTAACACATTAATGAACTGATATATTGATGGAAGAAAAATAAAACTTCATTCATGGCCTACATTCAGAAATTCATAGACTTCGTGGCCTTCATCCAGATCAAAACTTTGTTCGTGACCTTCATCCAGATTTGAGAACAAAACCTATGAATACAACTCAAAATCATCTAGCAAAGAAATATTGCTTCAAAATCTACCTGCAAAATCAAAACCCTTCTTGATGACCCAATATCGTTATATATGAAATTCCATTTTTTATGTCATTCTCGAAAAATAAACACAAAATAACGATAAATACAGAGATTGAGAGAAAGGAGGGGAGGTAAAGAGGAGAAACAGAAGATCATATCAAGATCTGTATTTCATAAATCAATATTATTCATACAAAAAACCTAAATAAGCTCACCTGGAAACGTCAAGAGGGGGGAGACGGTGTCATGGCTTCATGAGACATTTCATTGAATCCAGAGAAGAAGATTAAGGATTACCTTCAACCATTGATTGGATCGAGGGTTCCAGTGAGACAGGTATTTAATCGGATGTTTATGATAGAAGCCCTAGTCCACCGATTTCAATTTTACATAGGATCACATTCCTAATTTGCAAAGAAAAAATCATCGTGATTTCAAAAGAGATTAAATGGAATTCAAGAAATGTTGAATCCGAAAAATCAGGATCGAAATACGAAATAGGGTAAAAAATTAGGAAGAGAATCAAGGCCCGAGGATATGCAGAGCACCGATTTAATGGTCATGGGTAATTTCGGAATTTCAGTTGCAAGATTTGAGCGGGAAAAAAGCTTGGGGTGGGCTAATAGAATGCCACCTGATAAAATTGTACTTATTTATTAGATTAGGGGATTTGAAATGTGTTACCCACTATATATCCCGAAATTTCATTTTGGACCCTCTTAAATCGAAGCAACATGGAATTTGATATGGAAGTACTTTAGATGTACCGGGTATGTTCCTTTCTAGCTTGTAATTTTTGTCTACAATTTAATGTGTGTAAAACTGGAAAAATGATAGTACGAAACGAAAACCCTCATCGAAAATCCGAAGAAGTGAAGAACGTGTCCAAAATGGAAATGGTTTTCGTTTCAAATACGTAATCGGTATGTTTCGCAGTAGTTACGCTTAATAAGTGATTAATATTTGAGTTAGATAGTATTCATGAAGTAGAAACACTTGTTTGAAATGAGAACTTTAGTCCTGAATCCGAAGAACTTGTCCGGATTTTTTGTCCGAGATAGAAACCTCGTCCTGAATACGATGAACATGTCTGAAATGTGTCACTTAGTTTGTGGTTTACAAACTTTGTATATTGCTATTTCAGCATGACAGTCATGTGTGTACAATGCTTCATTGACCATGATCGAAAATACTTCCCAAGGCCGACGTGTGAGGTGTTTTTTCAGGGGTCGTGTTGATCATCAGGTGGCTTGATTTCCCCAACATGGAAGGGATTCGTTGCTTATGAACTACATGCTTTCTTAAGAGGTTTGTATAGATTCATGGACAACATAGTGGAACTATACTTTGAGTTAAGTGACTGGGAGCTACCTCGGAAGGAGGGAATTTTCTTTGATAACAAGGTGTATACCCTATGAAGAGGAGAGGTCCTACCCACCCCACGGCCTCGGATGATTCCCATGACGAGGGTATTATAACCCTATTTAGGACGATCTTTTTAATAAGAGCATCCGTGAAATTTTTTGAGAGTTTTTTCAAACCAAAAACTCTTGAAATTTGAAAAAAAGGTTATTGGAGGAATTTTTCAAACCAAATAATTTCACTAAGTTTGTTGATTAACAAGCTTTTGCTAAATACTTTTTCACTAATTTAGAATCTCATAGGTTTTCAAGCAATTATAATAAACAAATTATTGTGGCCATCATAAATAAACAAAATTAAAAAATATTCTCTTATTATACATGTAAAAATTAATTTTTGATTTCTTGATTTTTTTTCACAAAAGACAAAACTATGGTGTGGGTGTGGGTGTGGGTGTGGGTGTGGGTGTGGGTGTGGTTAGACGCATAGTCGCATACGGCCATTTCTGTAATTTACTCTGAATAAATAAACCGTAATTTTCCATATACTCAAAATCCTCACATCCCTCCAATAACTTTTCCATTTGTCTCCTTCGAATTCGAAGAACACCTGCTCCATTTTCGGCTTTCGTCAATCTGTTGCGGTTGATCTGGAAAACATATCTACATACATGGACAGGATAGTTGGGGGAAAGTACAAACTCGGGCGTAAGATCAGAAGTGAATCCTTCGTTACAGTTCATCAAGGTTTTACTTTTCCTTTTTAGTTTTTGTTGTTCTTTCTTATAAATCGGTACATTTTGTTGAAATTGAAGTTGTGAGAGTTAAGGGTTTATCACTTTTTTGTGCAGCGACGGATGTTAATACGCTTGAAATCGTCGCCGTCAAGATCGTAAGTGCTGAACATGATCAAAAGCAGCTTCCTTTTTGTTCATTTTTCTAGTTGTGATATAATTTTTCTTACTCTGTAGGAGAACAATAAGAAAAGACATCCAGAACTTCGATATGAAGCCAAGTTATACGATACTCTTCTGCGAGGACGTACGTATAGTTTGTTTACAATATCAATCATAACACAAACATACATGATTGATGATACACATACGCTTTTTCCTTTTTAATTCTATTTAAACAGATATATCAGTTTTCAATCGTTTTGCTTTCACTTGTAGGTGGTAAGCGTGGTATACCTGGCATAAAATGGTCTGGTGTAGATGGAGAAGATAACATTTTGGTAATGGATTTGCTGGGACCAAGTCTTGAGGACCTGTTTGTCTCATGTGGGAGAAAATTTCAATTGAAAACAGTCTTAATGTTGGCTGATCAAATGGTAATTATGCATCTACACCCTATTCAAACACTATATATACCTCCATTCTATAGATGTCAACTTCTAGGTTTTGCATCGTGAATTAAGAAGCTAATTTCTTTGTGTGTGCAGATAACGAGAATCGAATATGTTCATTCCAGAGGGATTTTGCATCGTGATATCAAGCCTGGTAATTTTCTTATGGGTATGGGTGAAAAAGCAAGTGAGGTGATAATGTGATATGTCAAATCCATTTCTGCATGTTCCCAATTGATAAGAGGCGTTTTGCAATGATCTTTCATTTTATCCATTAGGTTTATATTATCGATTTTGGGGTAGCTAAGAGATTTTGGGATTTAAATCGACATATCCCTTACAGGTATACCTACCTCTCAAGTTGGCATATATGAACTTCTTAAAGTTGAAGGTCTTTTCCCTTGCATGATTTCCAATGATTTTATTAATTCCACTACCTATTTTTGCAGGGAGAACAAAAAAGCTATAATTGGAACATTACATTTTGCAACTTGCATTGCACATCTTAAAATTGGTAAGATAGCACTCTCAATTTATAGGATCCGAAAAACTTAAAAGTTTAATTTTTTTGGTCTCTTTTGCAGAGCAAAGCCGACGTGATGATTTAGTATCTCTTGGATATGTACTTCTATATTTTCTCAGAGGAAGGTAGTTCTACCAACTTCTGTTGTGATGTTTTTTGTATTTTAATAATGTAATTACTTCAACTTAATTTATCTTATATTTGGGTTGATGTTATATTTGTTAACATAAAGTTCGTATCTAGCCTTCCATGGCAGGGTCTAAAATATCGAACAGCGATGCAGAAGCATGAGAAAGTATGTGAGATGAAATCATCAACTCCAATTGAGGTGCATATATTATATACCATGTATTTTTATCTAATTTATTTTATATCTTTAATAAATATATTTCTATTGTGTGCCTTACAACTTTAATTCATTAAGGTTCTATGCGAGTCTCAACCAGTTGAATTTGCATCATATTTCCATTACTGCCAGTCAAGGTTGTTAATAGCGATCGCTACACCCGCTATAGCGAATAGCGTAGCGTAGCTGTGATGGGTCGCTACGATGCCTGTAGCGAGGCAATAGCGTGTGTAGCGATGTCCGACAATTTTTTTTTTGTTTAAATCGATAAGAAACGTAGCAATTAGGCTCGGAATAGGTTTAGGCGGGCAATCGTACAGTCAATTTCATGTCTTCCCCTCTAATCGACTAAGATTGTACGATCGACGCCAAAATCACCAAAATCGATTTTGGCGGGTTATTTCTCACTTCTGCGACAGTAGCGACAATAGCACACCTCACCAAAATCGATTTGTGGTATTGAAACATAGTTTTAGACTTTAGAGTCTAAAAATAACCATTCTTTTGTGGTATTAGAACTTAATTTTAGACTTTAGAGTCTAAAACTAACCGGTCTTTTGTAGTAAACATCTTTTGGAACTTAATGTTAGCTTAATAGAACAGGTACTTGTTAGTTCTATGTTATTTTTGATTGCTGCATAGGTGCAAGTAAATATAGTGTTTAATTTTATAAGAAATCACAAAACATGAAATAGTTGTCGCTATTTCATCGCTATCGCTACGTACCGTATAGGTGGGTTGTCGCTATTTCCTCGCTATCGCTATCGATAACCTTGCTGCCAGTCATTGAGATTTGACGAACGGCCTGATTATGGATTTTTGAAACGTCTATTCCAAGAATTATTCACTCGTGAAGGTATTTTTGTGGCAATTTGTAAGTTTAATATAAATTTGCTTTCATTTCATTTTAGAGATAATGACATAAAAGCCTTTAAGTTTGGCAGAAATGTACGGATTTACCCTTTTGCAGATTTTAGGTTCACTAAAACCGGATGTTTGCAACTTTTTTTTCAATTTTACCCGTTTTACAGATTTACCTGGTAAAAACCGAACATTTATGCGGCATGCCAAACGTAAGGACTTTAATGAACCAGAAATACACAAAAGGGTAAAATTGAAAAAAAAAAAAAAAAAAAAAAGAATTGCAAACATCCGGTTTTAGTGAACCTAAAATCCGCAAAAGGTAAATCCGTACATTTCTGCCAAACTTAAGGGCTTTTATGTCATTATCCCTTCAGTTTAAGACATTGCATTTTCATAACTCTACTAATTATAGCATTGCACTTTCGACTTTTTTATAGGGCATTTATACTTTAAAATTTTTGTGTGATTATGGCATTAAAAATTGCTTTGACTTTTGATGACATTGCTATATTTGGGGTAGATTTTTCAAAGTAAAATGTTGTAATACGACAAAATGTTTGTCAGTAGAATGCTATAGTTAACAAATCGATGTTAACCCTTTTATATTGTCTTGTAGGGTTTGAATTTGATTACATCTATGATTGGACAATTCTTGATCAACTGTCACAAAACAGTAAAACTCAGCCACATGTATTGGTTAGTGCTCTTACATTATATTTATTCCACAATGTTTTACAGTGTATTATTTTTATTATTTGTTATGATATACATTATCCATTTTTTTTTTTTTTTTTGCAGCCAGCTCATGGAGAAAGCAGCAGTGCAGCCGCTTCGAAAAGATATGGAAAAACATCTAGGTAAGAGATCAAATACCAATGTAGTTTCTCTGATTTGTTTACTATAGTATCCTACTTTCATTTCTTCATATAAAAACATTCTACTTTAAAAAAAAAAAAAATTACATAGTGAAGAGGTTAAAAAAACGAAGGAACTAACTTGTGTTTTTCTTTCAATGCTACTTAATGATATTCAGATGAGTTATAAACAGATCGGATGAGGTCAAACACTGTTGCAAGTGAATGCAACTAAAATCACCAATCAACATACAATGCTCATAACAATCTTCCCAAGTGAAATTTGACTCGTCTACTTCTAGTCCCTAAAGTGTAATTATGTTTCATGTTCAGTCCCTGGACTGTGTGCATCTGTTTAAGTCCATGCTAAATGACCACTTTGTCCTTGTCTACTTATGAGAAATCTGAAATAAATGCAACATTTGTTAATTTGAAAAAGTTTAAATCCAAGATATTGCTTATGTAGGCGTTACACTAAGACATGGTTTTATAATAATAAAAAATGGAAAAAGATTAGGAATGCATTCGAACCAGAATGCATCAAATATTCAGATCTCTACCTTTAAAGGGTTCTTAATACTTTTAACATTTTATTTTAATATCATATATCATTTATGTATATTTATTTTAAACGAAAAGGTAAAGACTTATGTTTGAATCACTTGTGAATTAAGCAATATAAAAGGAATTGACTTATATATGAATCTCTACATGCTTCAACCTTAAACGTAAATTATTAAATCATTATGTATATATCATAACAAATAATTAATGTGAAAAATGATATGACGAAAAAATTGTTATAAATTATATCGAGTGAACTCAGTGAAGTTCATATCAATTTGTTTAGAATAAAGTACAATAAATAAGCAATAAGTTAAATAAACCAAAAACTGATATAGAAATTTACATATCATTTTTTTAAGAAAGAGAGCTGAATAAATAAATTTTATTTTAAATGTTAATGCATAGATCAAGATTATGTATTATTATCTGTACAACCAATGTTAGATATTGAGATAAACAAGCTCCAGCTAGTTTTGTATCCAGTGGTTGCAATAATTCCTTGTAGCAAAATATTGGAGTATCATCAAATATAAACTATTTCAGGCTTCAATAATTGAAATAATTCCATCTAACAAAATATCAGAATATCATCAAATGTAAACTATATTATGGCAAAGTAATACGAAACGGAACGCCCCCATATGTTAAATGAAATGATAAAAAAAAATAATAAAAAAAAAAATAAGGATTATGTATATTTGAATGGTGGATATAAAGAGTTTATATGTGTTTATTTCATAAAATGACCGTTAGCTTAAGGTGTATAGTCACACCCAGCCTACTCAAAAAGTGACGCCACATCACCTCCACTACAAACCCACTACCAACCCACTATCTCTTGGAAATGGTCACCACTCCACATCATTTTTTGTTTTTCTTTTTTTATTTTTTTTTACATTAGAATAATTTAAAATATAATTATTAAACATAAATATTAATTAAAAAACATTTTACATTAATTTAAAAAACATAAATTTAAAATCTACATTACTTAAAAAACATAGTAATTTAAAAACTAAATTACTAAAAAAAACATAGAAAATATTACTCGTCGTCATCCCCGTCGTCGTCATTGTCACCGTGTTGCTAGAATTGTCTTTGTCATATATACTCAGTCAAATCATAACGTAAATTGTGATGTGTTTCGCTATTTTGTATTTCCAAAAGTCGTGTGAAGTATGCAGGGCTGCCGACTTGTACTACTGCAGGTGGGTTAAGAATATCTTCCAAATTATACATACAAATAGCCCTACCCTCTTTTTCAATTATCATGTTATGTAAAATAACACAAGCAGTCAACACCTTCGTCAATTTCACTCTATCCATGACCGTGTCGGATGTTTGATAATGTGCCACTTTTGTTTGAGGACCCCAAATGCCCGTTCCACATCCTTCCTTGCCGATTCTTGTGCTAACTTGAACAATTTTCGTTTTTCATCGGCCGGAAATGAATACGACTTGACAAACGTAGCGTACTCTGGATATATCCCATCACCAAGGTAATACCCATAATTATATTGATGTTTATTCACAACGAACGGCATGTTTGGTGCTTTACCCTGCAAAATATCATTAAACATGGCAGAGGCTCCAAGCACATTCAGGTCGTTGTTTGACCCCGCCATACCAAATAATGCATGTCAAATCCATAGGTCATGTGATGCAACAGCCTCTAGTATAATAGTCGGGACGCCATGATCACCTCGTGTGAATTGACATCGCCATGCATTGGGACAATTTGCCCACTCCCAATGTGTACAATCAATGCTACCAAGCATTCCTGGTAAGCCATGTTTAGCTTCATGTGCGGCATACAACTGTTCGATATCATTTCTAGTTGGATGTCGCAAATATATGTCACCATAAAGCTCTATGACATACTCACAAAAAAGATAAGCACATTCTCGCCCAGTCCTCTCAGACATTTTCAGATACTCATTTGAAGCATCTGTTGCTATGTTGTATGCCAATTGTCTAAGGGTTGATGTGCATTTTTGTAGGGTACTAAAACCACGTTTACCTCTTGCATCCCATCTCAATTGGAAAAACTCATAATTGTTTTCCAAATCTCTAACAATACGTAAAAATAAATTTCTACTAATACGAAATCGGTCTTCAAATTTTGATAGGTCATGCAAACTATCAGGGGCAAAGTAATCACGTGTCAAAAGCTCGTGTGCCGCCATACGATCCCGAACTATCAAAATTCTATGCCTCTTCTCGGTATTTGAACTTTCGCCTCTTTGTTGCACCCTATTGCGTGATGCAGACAACAACGTGTGCAACACCAAGTCATCTTCATCAGAGCTATCATCATTGGATGAAGAAGAAGCAATCGAATCCGCAAAATTATTCATATATATGTTTGAAAGTGTGTTTGAAAGAGGGAATAGAAATATGTTTGTGATGTGAATGGAAATGTGTTTGTTTATATGCTGTGTATGTATTTATATATGTGTATTAAGTTTTGTTTGAATTTTTTTTACCTTGGTAACGGTCAAAAGAAAAAAAAAAAGAACAGTCAAAATGGTCCACCAATCACGTCTGTCGTCTTCGTCCATAGCCAGCCCCACGCCACAAGCCCGGGGCGGTGTTCACGTGTAGGTGGCCTTGCCACGTATGCACACGCGTAGTCAGGGGGGATCCATACCGCAAATCAACACTGAATTGTTGGAAGTCTAAAAACTTACATATTTAAAGCGCTATCACGTAAATGTCATGTACGATGTGTCACACTTCAAAAAATTGTCATTTAGAGGGCATGGTTTGCCACTTTAATCATGCTATTTTTTTAAGACAAAAATGCAAAAATGATCTGTCACACTTCAAAAAATTGTCATTTAGAGAGCATGGTTTGCCATTTTTGTCATGCTATTATTTTAAGAAAAAAATACAAAAATGATTCTCGTGGTTGTCAAAAATATGTAGTTTTGGTCTAAAAAAGTTTGATAGTGTATCAGTGGTCCAATTTAAATACGTTGTGTGGTTTTGGTCCCCTTTAATTAGTATTTTTGTGGTTTTGGTCCAAATCCAGCCTGAAACAACGAATACGCCCTTAAATAATTCTCTTTTAATTTTTTTTATTTTCAATAAAAAATAAAAAGAAAATATCATCCACCCTACCTCAACCCTCTCTCTCTCTCTCTCATATTTCTTTTTCTCGTTTTTCACAAAAATAGAATACTACAATCACCACCACCGGTTAATCTTGAGGAGTCGTCGCCATTCTCGCCGGATCTGTCACCATTTCTATCGGAATTCGACTCTCATGTGATAGCTCAGACATCAGTGTGAACCTCATTGACATCAGTGTGAACCTCATTGACATCGTCATTATCACCGGTGCTCTTGAAGATTTCCAGATCCCATTTGCAAATCTGACCTCCGCCACCACCAACTGAAAAAACCCTAACCATAGTGTCTTTTAGAAACCTTTCCCTAACGCAAATCTGAAAAAAAAAAAATGCTCTGGTCTAAAACCCTCGAACCAGACGACAAGATCGACCACAACATATATGTGGCATTTGATAGTTTCAGGTGGTGCCCGGCGACGTATATATGACAAACGGGTGCTAGGGTGGTGGTGGTGGCGACTGAAAGCCCTAATCGCTGAAAGATGGTGGTGGTGGCGTTTGGGTAGGCGTTTGAACACCCTAACTCTTACGAGAAGGGCAAACATCTCTGACGATAAGGGCAACAACTCCGGTGAGAAAGGTGGTGGTCTGACGTCTAGTAGTATTTTCTGTCAGAAAGTTGGTGAACGGTGGCGTGATGGTCGGTGGGGAGTTTCATCAGGTCTGGAGAAGGAAAGATATGGTGATGGTGGGATTGGATGCTTGTGGCCTTTTGTCTATTTTTAATTATAAAGTAATTAAATAAATTGTAAAATACAAACAAAAAGGGTATAATAGTATTTTAAGTTGATAGGGACCAAAATCACAAAAAAAATAAAAAAATAAAAAAAATAAAAAACAAAACAAAACAAAATTGGATGAATGTTGCACCACCAAACCTTTTAACCATATAATATTGACAACCAATGGGACAATTTTTGCAATATTGTCTTTTTTAACTAAAATTAATTTATATAAAAAATAATCAGTTTAAACAAATTAATTTTTATAAAAGCTAGAATTTCATTAACCTTGAAAGAAAATTAGAAGACACTTAAAAAAAGGAAAAATACAACATAGATCAAGGTTGTCAAGATCGGAATCCTACGTATGATCGTTTTTGGGTTTGCAAGATCGGGATCGTAAAATCGGGATCGGGATCCTAAGATCCCACAAAATAAAATATAATTTTAAGTTATAATTTTTAATCATGAAAAATATTTTAAACATTCAATGTTTCGTTCAAAAGTTATAAAAACTTCAAAATATTAGTCATAAGTCACAACACAAAATTCATTTGCAATAAAAAAAAGAATCAAGGGAAGGTAGGATCGGATCAGATCTCGATCCTACGATCCTACGATCAGGATCGCGATTTTGACAACCATGACATAGATGTTAAAAATATGAAACATAGATAATAAAACTAGTAACTTTTCGATAAAAAAATGGTGCATCTTGGTTGTTCCCGACTTTTGGGTCTTTCGAAACATCTACCCACACACAAGCCAACACAACTTTTTCCTCCGGTGTTCAATTCTTGGAATGTGTGTTTCCTTTTTTCTTGGTTTTTGTTTGAGGTTGAATCTCTTCATGCTCGGAATTAGTTTCGGGTACGATTTCGAGTTGAGAGTGACTTTGGAATTTGCTTTGGGTTTGGGATTGGAAATTTGAAATGAGAGTCAAATGGGTTGAAGTCATTTTCCAATTGGGATTGGAATTGGAATTGGAGTTGAGATT